TTTCCAAAATCATATTCTATTACATAAATGGCAAAGAAAAGATTCATTAAAGTCAGAAATAACAGCATCAAATATCGGTGTAACATGGACAGTCTCTAAGAAGTTAAAACAGCATGGTAACTTAACCATTTAAAAAAATAAATACGTATAATCTATCAGTCGAATAAGCTCTATATTGTAAGTCTGAACTTTAACTTAAAATGTCTGTTGGGCATTTAATAATAATAATGATAATAATCTGTTCTGTAGAGAATGATATTAACCTATGGAAATTGTAAGAAGAAAGACACATTAGGACTAATGAGTATGGACATCAGCTCCTGATTTAGGGAGTGTGGTACTACATGCCTATGGTTTAATCAAAGTTGCTGAAAAATTCTCAAATGATTTTCATGAAACAAAAACTTCTTTACAATAAGGAAATGAAGAACATTAGAATGTAAGCTCCATTAAGACAGGATTATTTGTGTTTTGTTCACTGCTACAGTCCCAATGCCCCCAACATTATAGTAGGCACACAATAAATATTTGCTGCACGAATTGGAGATGTCAAAGGTTAAAGTAAGACAAAAGGCCAAAAACATTAATTAATAAAGAATGCCCCTCCTTAAGACAGAATCTACAGGGAAGTGTACTTAGAATCTTCTGTTCCAAATTGGCCTATGGTAGTAATCTATAACATATAAATATCTACAGTAACTCTAAGAAATAACTCTAAGACTTAAGAATGACTATATTAGATACAATTTATCTAGTAAATTTTAAATAAGTAGCTAGTAAATAAATAGGTAAAAATGAAAAGAAAATAACAGCAAAAAGACATCATCCTGCCTTGTACATCCAGATTGTACCACTGTTTTTTCATAGGTGCATCTCACTGGTTTACTTTACTTTTTTAAATCCTGGTAAAATATACCTAGCATAAAATTTTCCCTATTAACCATTTTTAAGCGTATAGTTCAGCAGCATCAAATACATTCACACTGCTGTGCAACCATGAACACTGTCCATTCTCCAGAATGTTTCATCATCTCAAACTCAAATTCCATACCTATTAAACAATAATGTCCCCATTGTTCCCTTCCCCCTGGCCCTAGGTCAGCCGTGGGCAAACTACGGCCCGCGGGCTGGATCCGGCCCGTTTGGAATGAATAAAACTAAAAAAAAAAAAGCCCGTACCCTTTTATGTAATGATGTTTACTTTGAATTTATATTAGTTCACACAAACACTCCATCCATGCTTTTGTTCCGGCCCTCCGGTCCAGTTTAAGAACCCATTGTGGCCCTCGAGTCAAAAAGTTTGCCCACCCCTGTTCCAGAGGCTTCTAGAGGCTGGAGCAATGTGCATGGCATGCTAAAGAAAGACTCTCCAAGATGTTCACTGGTGAGTGGCACCTTACATAGCAGTCTTTGCAGATGTAATTAGGGATCTTGCCATAAGGAGATGATCCAGGATTATCTGGAGGGGTCCCCAATGTTATCACAAGTATTCTTATAGGAGGGAAGCCGTGGGAGATTTGAAACACACACACAGAGACCAGATGTCTACAGAAGCAGACATTGGAGTGATGTGGCCAGAAGCCAAGGAACACCAGTAGTGACCAGAAGCTGGAAGAAGCAAGGAACAGGTTCTCCCTGAGAGCCTCTGGAGGAAACACAGTGCTGCCAAAACCTTGATTTGGGCCCAGTAAAACTGATTTTGAATTGCTGGCCTCCAGAACTATGATTGAGTGCATTTCTGCTGTTTTAAGCCACAAGATTTGTGGCAATTTGTTACAGCAGGCACAGAAAACCAATACACATGTGCTAACTGAACTCTAATACCCTTTTATTCAGCAAACACTTCCCAAGGGTTTGGTATGTTCCAGGAACAAGGGATCAGAAATGAGTCAAGCTGCCTGGAGTGAGGCAGAGATCTGGGTGGGAGATAGAGAGCAGACTTGAAGAGAAGGGGCCCAAGCTGAATTTCCATTGACACCACTGCACTGTGACAGAATCATCGCTGGTGTCTGCATTAGCAATCTGGGCGTGAAACCTCACTCTGCTGCCCAATACTGTGTGACTTGGGTTAAGTCATTTACTTCCATAAAAGTGCACTTATTTCACCTGTCAAATAAGTATGGTAACAACTACCTCACAGAGATTAAGGTTCTTGAGTGAAATAATAATAATTAGGTCCTGACATGGGGACGGTGCTCAGAGCACATTGGGGTGTGACTATCCACACCCACAGGGGATGACTGAAGTCTCCACATGTGTAATTGGAGAAGACAAAGAAACCTTCCCACACTCAAGTGCCATTGAACTGGAACACTCAACCATTAGTAATGTATTTCCTCTTCAAGTTCCTTTTTGAGATCCAAAGTCCTGGGAGATGTTATGCTTTCTGCCATTAGCTCCTAAGAGTGAAAATGTAGGAGCTGCTCTCCCAACCAGCAACCCAAAGCCACCAGGCACTTTGGATGAGCCACACAATGAATGATGAAGACAGGGTGGAAGGGCAGAGACAGACTGAAGGCAAACACTGCCTGTGCAGTGTCACTGGTCGCTGGTGGTTACGGCTGGGTTAGGGTCTCTGGACTATAATGCTGTAGATAGAGGTGTCAAGTAGACAGTTCCTCAAGGAGAAATTCAGTTTTCTTATCACTTTGTTTGCCTGTGGTGGCCAAGAAAGTTAAATGTGTTTGAATGTCATGGGCTAAGCGTCAAGGTGATGGCAGAAAAGGGAAGCGAGGGCCCTGGCCCCAGCTGGAAGCCTCCCCATCTGGACGGACATGGATGACAGGCAGGATAAGGGGAGGAAGCGTTCTGCTTTCTGCTTGTAAATGCTTTTAGAGGCTGAGAAACCTCAGGAGCCTCTCAGCCAAGGAGATAATATTCCCCAGCCACAGACTGTTCCCATCATGCTTGCATTACATTTCAGCCACATGGAAATCTTCATGCAATGTGCGCCATAGCCACACGCTTTCACATGCAACACACATCCCCAGCCTGCATGTTCATTGCTGTGGCACCCATGCAGGGTCCTAGAAAACCTTACACAGAGGGAGGGACATTTGTCCAAGTGGGTCTTGGAGCGGTGACATTTCTACATGGTGATCCATGTGCGACTGTGCTCTCTAGCCTAGGGTAAATCGAAGGCACAGGGCTTTCCAGACTTATAGTCCAGGTCTCTGCAGCTGAGCTCTGGAGCTAGAGAAGGTGTTATGGTTACTTAGGCACAGGCAGCAGGTCGTTCACTAGGTGAATGGGGGATCAAGACTCAAGCTGAAAGCCCAGCTCTCAGGAATCTTTCCTGACTCCAGGGAGGCATCACTGAGGGAAGAGGCTGATGGAAAGAATCACCTGAACACAGAAGGATGCGCCTGTCTAGTTCACAGACTCCACTCTCCCACGTGCAAACTGGCTGAGATGCAAAGGCCTTCTGATAGAGCAAGACCAGACGTGCATTAGGAAAGGCAAACCCGTGGCAAATATTCACTACACCCCCCAGATGTTCACCGTGGGCATCATTAATCAATCATAACAGTCTTTCCAATCTGGCCCACTTACAGCCTCGGAATCCTTCTTAACACAGTGCTTCAAGCAGCTGAAGAGGCGCTATCTGTGGTGCCATGCCAGCCCCTGATCTCATAGCCTCCCCATTCTGCTCACGCACTGGAGTTGCTTGCCAAGCTGCAGCCGTTCTTGAGGCTGGAATCTGCCTTGGCCCAGTCCCTTCTGGGTGACTTCAACAGGTCCTTTCTTAACACCACCTGGTTCTGAACCCTTCATCTGAGTTGCGCAACCCCATCTCAGCCTGTCATGCCGCTCATTAAAATTCTGCATCTGCCCCAGTTATGTTGGCTGCCTGATGTGTCAGGCCCCGTGTGAGTGACACCTGCTTGTCACCCACAAAAGATGAGGCCCCTTGTTTACAAAATTCCAGTGTGAATGGGGGCCCACAGCTCCATCCAGGCAGAAAATACAATTAGTCAACTCCTCAAGTCAGAGTTCTGTCTGACTGTCTCACTGTTTTGTCCCAAGTCACACAAAACAGTCCAGCCAGATGTCACCCGGCCTCCTGTGCCCACGTGGACCCTGGCTAGGGAGCTGTAGCCTTGGAACTGTAGCATTTTCGCTAGACTTGTTTTTTCTCCCTCAACTATCTTTCTTGACCTCTAGCTGGCTTTTCTACTTATTGGTGACCTGCTGGAGTGGCTCTGCTGTATCAGAGAGAAATTTTAATGTTATTCCCTTTAAAGTTTGTCAAATTTTCATAGGGAATTATATATCAATTATATCTAGAACATATTATTGAAATTATATATTTATATTTAAAATATATTTAAATGTATTTTTTCCAGAACTATTATCTGCCCCTTTGAAAGTAGTTTTTTGTTTTAGAGTAGTGGTTCTCAACCTTCTGGCCCTTTCAATACAGTTCCTCATGTTGTGACCCAACCATAAAATTATTTTCGTTGCTACTTCATAACTGTAATGTTGCTACTGTTACGAATCGTAATGTAAATATCTGATATGCAGGATGGTCTTAGGCGACCCCTGTGAAAGGGTCGTTCGACCGCCAAAGGGGTCGCGACCCACAGGTCGAGAACCGCTGCTCTAGGGTCTAACTGCTTTCTAGTGGGCCTCCATGAAATAAAGCTAGCAGACACCAAACACACATAGAACGGAAAGAAAACAAACTTATTCTAAGAAGAAAGTAAATGTGACTTAAGCAGCCCTGGCTTCTGATTCCATTTGTACAAGCCCCATTCTGATACACAAAGGCAGACACTGTTCTGAGAGGTTCACATATTCAAATCGCCTGAACTTCACACCACCGCTATGAGACAGGGGCAATCCGTGTGCCCGTCTGTGTGTGAGGAGGACAAGTGGGGGTGGGAGGGGCAGGCACCGTGCAGGTCACACAGGAGAGGGATTGGCAGAGGCAGGTCAGCCCTAGAGAGACCCCCTTCACCACAGCACATGGGCAGAAATGTTGGGAAATTCTGAGGTAGATTTGCCACACTGGACAGGAGGATCCCACATAATGGTTTCTGTCTGAGGGTGGGATGGGGATCATTCTTGACTTGATTGAGATTAGAGGCGAGAGTGACTTGTCCAGTTAAAATCCCTCCACATATCAAATTAGAGCAGGACGCACAGCACTTTCCACTACAGGGGTTCTGAGGAGTTAGAGGCAACTTCATCCTTCCCTCCTAACAGATTTGAACATTTGCAAAAATCCTGCTTCTTGGGCCGGAAATGGGGGGCGCTGTTTATGATATCACAGAAGGGAGGTCTGTGGTATGCATCACACTGATCCCACTCTTTTCATCACAAGAATGTCCTAGTTTTATTTATTTTATATTTACTCTCTCCTGGAGGTCATCAGAGATGCAATAGGATTCAAAACATGGTGCCTTTGCATGTCCCAGGCCATTGGAATCCTCTCACTCAAGTACTCCCATTTGAACTGGCTTGGAAATGCCCACCTGCCTCACTCGACATTAAAGAAGGGCAGGCAATTGCCCTACCATACAGGCAGGTCATTCAGCCGTGAGCTGTCCCTTCTGATTCTGTGGGCAATTTTTCTCTAGTCTCTGAGTCAGGTCCTTCCTTTCAATCCCCCCCCCCCCGCCCCACCTCTCACCTTTCTTAAAGACTTGGGTTTCAAATTTACTCACTAGCCATGTCGCAGGGAGAAAGTTACAGGACCTCTCTTTTCTTTTCTTTTCTTTTCTTTTCCTTTATAGTCAATGGGAAGAAGATATTAGTGTGTGTGAATCTCTGATGGTTTGCAGGAAGTGGGTCCTCCATTTACAGAGTTCCTTTTTCTTATAGATTGAGGAGGATAAGGAACATATTCTTACTACTGGCTTTATATTTTTCTTGGCATTGTCCACTCATCAGGTCTGCTTTCACCTCAAGCCCTCTTCCCTCTGCCACCTGTCACCCTTGCAGCCTCCCCTCCTTCGTCAGCTAGTGTATGTCCAGGGAAACACAAATGATTCTAGTACTGGGACAAAATAGACCACTGGGAACGTGAATTATTGGACTGTAGTGAAGTTCAAATAAGAAAATACTGGTTTGCAAGTGTTCTTCTGAGCAGCTGCATGAGCTTGAGCAAACCACAAAATCCCTCAGCCTTCCATGAGAGGGTTGGCAGTCTGCAAAGTCCTTCTGAAGCCAGGATTCTGGAATGGTCTCTCCTCTCTTCTCCATTCTCCGATTGTTCTTCCTCTTCCTTTCATCTTTCCCTCTCTCCCTCAACTCCTCCCTCCATCTCTTTTTCTCTTCCTCTCTCCCTCCTCATTCCCCCATTCCCTCCCTCTCTGTTTCCTCCTTTTCTCTCCTGCACCCTCACTTGTGCCCGGCACTGTGAAATGAGATCATGCAGGTTGCAGTCCAGACTCCCAACAAGTCTGAATATTCTATGACTTCCATTAGGAAGTGTCTCAGTGCTAGTAGGATCTGCCAGGTGTGCCATGAAGGCATGCCCCAAACTGCATGCTTCTCTCTATCTCTTGGCTGCCACCCCCTCCCAGCCACCATCCTTTCTTCTATGCACTGACTTCCCGCCTGAGTTGCTGGCTTCCACTCTGGTTTGCACCAGTCATGTTTACCCACTGCAGTCAACTTGACTTGCCGAGTTGCAGGTTGATTAGATCCCTTCTTTCCCTTGCCCAAACTGAAGGCAGACTCTCTCCCCTGAATAAACCCAAACTCCTCCCTCTGCTTGCAACCCAACTCCTGCCTCCTTCCAATCTCACAGTTGAAGACAGTCAAGACCAATGAAGTAAGCATTCCTTTCAAGTTTAATCTATCAATATGAAAACCAATAAACCATTTGATGATGGCATTTGGTCAAACCAATGAAGAAGAACATATTTTAAAAATGATGAATACTAGGGAATATTCAAAACCAGATGAAATGTCAGAACCCTTGGAGAGGCGGTTACAAAAGATGAAAATAAGGAAGTACTTTTCTAGGATAGAAAAAAGAATTTTAGAACAGACTCATTAAATGGCACAGCTGGTGTTAGTACAATTGGCTTCGAGGAAATAAAAATGAAAAGACAGAGAGGAGAATTCATCCTGGTTAGGCCGAGGGTTGGTTTTGATCCTGATTATGAATTACAGCCAACACTCATTGTTTCAACTGTCACTAAACACTAGTCCCCGTTTGCAAGGGCAGTTGTCCCAAGCATCCCTCCTTTGAGAATTCGGTGCCTCATGCTGCAGATCTCAAGGCCAAGGTCCTATCGTTTTGTGGTTTCGCAGATGCCAGGCATTCAGGGACCAGAGCTGGAAGTCATTACATTCTCAAAATAGAGCTGATTGTGAAATCACAGGCCATCCTATTGTTCTAAGATTTTTCTAACATTGACTTAGTCAGTTGCATCTAAAAAAAATCATTCTTTGCACATGTTCTCAGGCTAAACTCCCTGTCCATATGAGATGAAATTTCCAAGCAGGCAGAAAATAGGCCCTTGGACAAGAAGGAAGGGCCAATGATCTAGAACAGTGGTTCTCAACTTTCTGGCCCTTTAAATACAGTTCCTCATGTTGTGACCCAACCATAAAATTATTTTTGTTGCTACTTCATAACTGTAATGTTGCTACTGTTATGAATCATAATATAAACATCTGATATGCAGGATGGTCTTAGGCGACCCCTGTGAAAGGGTCGTTCGACCGCCAAAGGGGTCGAGACCCACAGGTTGAGGACCACTGATCTAGAACCAAATCCCATCACTGCCACTCACCAGCTCTGGGACCTGACCCTCATTCCTCCTGTATGGGGATTGAGTATATTTATCAACAGGTAGGAGTAGGGACCCTTTTATCTTATTGTGTACAGGATCAAAATAAACAAAAGAATGGACAGGATAGAAGGTATGGAGGGGGAATAAGTAACAGCTGGACATGAGGCTTATGTAGAAGACCACATGGAATACAGGTTAGAAGTGAGGCAAAATTTGGATTTGAGTTTCCCAGCAGCCCATACAGAGAAAAGCAATAAAAGGTGAATAGTCTCCTATAGCTCTCCTGTGTTCCCTTACAAGTTCCACTCTAAGGCTGCCTTCCTGGCCCTGGGTCATTTCCACCCTATCCACCTGGATGCAGGGTAGGGGCAGATAGGAGAGGTCACTGCCATGGCCGTGGCAGGCTAGGCTCCTATGACTGGTGACTTCTGGTGTTTTAATCTAATGTGCTATGAAAGAAAGTAATATTGATGCTATGAAACTTTTCATAAAATTACAGGGTACTGGTGGGACTACTGTATGGTGCTCTAGGTGAAGTACAATTGATACAAGCATATCAAACCTGGTGCCTGCCCTCAGGAACTTGGAAATTTGTTTGTGGATCCAGGACAAGGTATACTTACTCAATATTATAGCCTTAATGTTTTTCTAGGTTGGGTTCTATGAGAAATGTAAATGGTTCATTTGGGTGATCCCAGAGAATACAAGTAGAGGAGGGGGAAGTGAGTCAGGGCCAATTAATCCTGCATTCCAGGATGGAAAGGGGAGTCACTAAAAAGTGTTGTAGGCAGAAAAGAAAGGAAGAAGGTCATAACAAGAGAGGATTACCATCCCCCAAGACTCTTCTCTATTGTACAATCAGTCATCCACTATTAGTAATAATATTCTACTATTAGTAATAATATTCATGAGTACAGAGATAGGAAAGAAAGCAAACACGGTATGGTGCCAGGGGACCATTGAGCTGAAAAGGTGAAGACAAATCAATTGGTCATGAGTTTTGGGTATGGGAATATGGTCAAAGAGACTAAGTTCTGTGAGTATTCACTGGCTGGGATACTCAGCTGTCTGTACCACATGAGCTCAGTGTCAGGGTCCTATTCCTTAGACCCTATTATCCCAAGCCCTGGACAAGACAATATTTAAATAAATTTCTTTGTGCTTATGTGTGCTAAAAGCAATCCTTGTTGGAATGAGTCATTAAGTGGGCTAATTCCTTCTTTATCATATAGAAAATGGATTTTTCTTTGTAAACATTTGGGGAGCAGGCTTTATGTCAGTTAGGTTCACACACTTCCTGTCTTAAGCACTCTGTATCTTTGTTCTCATTCCATGCCCACCTATATCCTTTTAGACCATTTATGTATGTCTCAGACACTCTAATTTTGAGATGGGGATGTCCACTGGGGAATGAGCATTGTGCTGGTTGAACATTTAGAGTAAGCATGAAACTAGTGGTGAAGTGGGGCAGTCTGGCTTTGGACTCTGGCCACATTTGCCAATTTCAGAACCTGGACAATTACTTAACTTTTCAAAGCCATAGCTTCTCCAATTGTAAAGTGGAGTACACATTCTCATCCTTAGCCAAGGGTTATTTTGACCGTTAAGTCAAAATATGGTCACCTGATCACTAACACAACCTCTCCTGGCCTTCTTCCCTGCCCTGTCTCACATTCCCCATCCACCACTGGAGTGGGGTACACTGGCACCACCTCCAAAATTAACAACTTATACTCAAGTTCTTGTCTCAGGTTCTGCTTCTGGGGTGGGGGCAAACTAAGGCAGATAATTTATTCAGTGAAAATAATCAGGTGACCACTATACATCTGGATTAAGACAAAGAAGTATTTTTTTCTCCTCAAATTAAAAAAAACACTCAACTTTGTAGGTAATGGTTTTATATAGGATTAAGATCATTATCTTTAGCAGAGCAACTCTATTCAAATTTATGCTCTATAATATACTAGTTCTGGGATTATTAGAATAATCAATATAACATATTGAGCAGAGTCTTTGACATAAAGTAATTCTTGTGAATTTTAAAAATAATATTTATTAAAGTATAATTTTCATACAATAAATGCATGCATTTTAAGTATACAGTTTAATAAGTTTGGACAAATGCATGCAGTCATGTAAACACCTCCCTAGTAAAGCTAACGTGTCCATAACCCCAGAAAGTCCTTTTGCCATTGACAGTCTACTTTCACCCCATCCCTTTCACCTCAGGGGAGCATTGACCAGCTCTCTATTACTATAA